GGATCCAGGACCTTCAGAAGGTCAACGCGGTGACGATACGAGACGTGGGCTCCGTGCCACACACCGATTTACTGGCAGAAGGCGCCGCAGGTAGGTCGATTTATTCGGTTTGTGATCTGTTCTCAGGCTATGATGAGGTGCCACTTGACCCAAGAGACAGGCACCTCACGGCTATGCATACGCCATTGGGACTAATACAGATGATGGTTGTCCCTATGGGTTGGACTAATGGGGTAGCTGTTTTTCAGAGAGCCATGGTAGCCGTCCTGAAGAACTTCATCCCTGATAAGGTTGAAGTTTTTCTAGATGACTTTCCTATAAAAGGGTCAGTGGACAGGGATGAGACAGAGGTTGTACCTGAAGTTAGAAGATTCGTCGAGCAGCACCTAATAGATATTTGCGTGGTACTTGAGCAGCTGGACGATGCGAATTTAACAGTCAGCGGAACAAAGAGCCCATGGGTCGTCTCGACTATTAAGATCTTGGGTTTTATCTGTGACTCGAGAGGACGCCGAGCAGATCCGGCAAAGTTAGACAAACTTCTGAACTGACCCTCACCGTTACATAGCCCAACCGAGGTCCGGCAGTTTCTAGGAGAGGTCGGTTACTGGCGTATATTCATACGGGGATACGCGGAGAAGGCTGAGCCATTGAGGTTACTCCTTCGAAAGACTGAAAACTTCTATTGGAATTCTTCGCAGGAACTTGCTATGCAAGAACTTAAAGACGAATTTAAGGAAGGAGGACGCGTGTTGGGTGTTCCATTCTTTGACGATGAGACCGAGAGACCCTTCATAGTATCCACGGATGTTGGACCATGTTTACTGGGTGGTTTCCTGTCTCAGAAGGACGCTGGAGGGAAGGAAAGACCGTTAAGATTTGAGAGTAGGACACTTAATACGGCTGAGCGTAACTACAGTCAATTCAAGAAGGAAGTGTTAGCTGTTCTCCGGTGTCTAGACACGTTCAGACACTATATCTATGGGCGACGGTTCATCTTGAGAGTAGACCCCACCGCGGTTGCCTCTGTCCTCTAAAATGACTTTAGTCTGACTGACCCGACCATCGCCCGATGGTTTATACGGATTCGGCTATACGATTACACGGTTGAGAGAATATCTAGTACTAAAAATGTCGTGGCAGATGGACTTTCACGCATCCCTCTCGGGCGTCCGATAGTAGCTGGGGCCCTGACAATGGCAGAGCCGAGACGCGCCGAGAGATTTCTAGTTAATCATTACGAGGGCAAGTACCGAATGATTGGACTACACCTGATGGGAGAGGAGAGTCAAGATTCAGATATCCGGAGGCAAGCATCCCAGTACTGCCTTAGAGCGGGCCACCTTTTTCGAAGGCCAGTAGGGTCGGGAATGCCCTTACGAGTAGTCTGTGATCCTGAGGAGAGACAGACGATAGTTGCGGAGTTTCACAACGGGGTAGTTGGAGGACACAGAGGGGTTAAAGGAACCTACAAAAAGATACGTCGGCTGTACTGGTGGGAAGGACAGTATAAGGACGTCGAGAGGTACTGTATGGCATGCGAAGAGTGCCAGAAGAGAGCTCTGGTGATATACAAAGAGCCACTTCATCCATCCTATCCGACCAGACCAGGAGAAAAGGTACACATCGATCTAGTGAAAATGCCGAGAGGGGTAGGCAATATGAACTACGTCGTGAACATACGAGACGATTTCACTGGGTTCGTGGACGGTAGACCTATCAGGAGTAAGGCGGCAAAGGAAGTAAAAAACTTTGTCTCAGAGTACTTATCTAGGTATGGTTGTGTCAGCAAGATTGTGATGGACAGAGGGGCGGAATTCCTAGCCGACGAGGTTCAGAGCGTGTTTAGGAGAGTCGGTGCGAGAGTTTCGATAGCCACTGCCTATCACCCAAAGTCGAACTCCCCAGTAGAGAGGGGACACCAGACTCTGATAGCGTCACTGTCCAAGTGGTGCAAGGGTAAGGACAGTGATTGGCCACGATACTTCCGATACGCAATATGGGCGGACAACGTCACGGTCCAGGCTAGTACCGGATACCCGCCGTACACCTTGTGGTTTGGGCGACATTGTCCGCTTCCCATAGAGTTTCACGTCGACAGCTGGACCACCGTCGACTGGGCAGAGGAGATGTCCAGAGAGGAGCTCTTAGCTGCCCGAACAAGACAGATAGCCTACGGGTTGGAAGATAACCTTATGACAGCGGCAGATCGTCTGGCAGTGGAAAGAGACAAAGGTAAAGAGAGGTTGGAAAAGAACGTGCGAATCAGGAAAGAGAGGGTGAGCGTAGGAGATATGGTCCTTCTCTACGATGCAGCACTGGAAAGAACCTGGACCGGAAAACTCGCCAACAGATGCATGGGACCTTACAGAGTGGTTGAAGCACTCGACTGGGGTGCATATATGATAGCAGAATTGGATGGATCTAAGTGGAAGGACCCAGTGGCGGGCGCTAGGTTAAAGCTGTTTAGGCCCAGGCCCGCGCCCGCTTTATCGCTAACCAGCCCGAAAGGGAAAGGGAAAACTATGATGGAGGATGGAGCCCCCTTGAGGCAATTCGAGACAGGGGAGAGTTCCAAGAAAAGGAAAAGAATAGAGAAGAGAAAGGTCAAAGGGTTAGCTTTAGGAAGAGAGAAGAGATGGTTATTCGTGCTCAAGCGAGCTAGATGGAGAGTTCGCGTTAGACGTACTGGCGGGTCGACACCCTTCTCGGGGCAAAGACAGGAGAAAAAGAGGATCGTGCCAAGACCAAAATCCCGAAGGAAAAGGAAAGTCAAGAAGCATCTTCTTAGCCCCAGGACTCATAACAAACTAAAACATAAGACAATTGAACGCCGACGTGGGCGTCCTTTACGGGCCATCACCCTGAAGCTCGTCCGCTTCGTCTGACGTAAGCTGTTAGGGCTCGACGGGGGCGTCGAGAAGTGGTCCGRGCTAACTGTCAGGCGGCCACAAGCAGTGCGCCGCCTGAAATCTGCGGTCTTGGGACTTAGGCTCAGAAACAAGTCAGTGTTTTGACGGTACTCTCGTTTGACCAGGCAACAAAAATTAGGGAAACTCAAGGCACCCCTAATTAAGGGGTCACTGAACCTTACGAGTAACCCTCAGAGATGGCAGAATGGGTAGCCGTTCCCGGCACATCTAGGGACCATCATTTCCGCCCGTTCCAAGGCTAGACCTGGGATGGCCGGCCGCGGGGAGGCAACGCGTGGGTTGGCCCCGCCGCAATGCTTTTGCAGCATATGATCGGGGCCGAAACAGCTCCTCAAATTTTTGTCAATTTTGGTACCTAAACTAAAAATGAAGAATTTTTTTTTTTTTAAGAACAGTAGTAGGGGAGAAAGATGTAGTATTCCTTAATTTCCTTATTTTCTGTGGCATTTAAATTTTGGAGAAAATACCTCGTTATTTTATGTTTCCGGCAATGAAATCAAAAACCAAGAAAAAGATAAAAAATGATAAAGGAGAAAAGAAACAAAAGAAATCTAACAATTTAATTAAGACTCCTTCAGAATTTATCCTTGGTGAACTTACGGTTAAAAAGGTGGTAGAATGATTAGAAATGATGGGAGGAATAAGAACTACTGACTATTCGATGCCTGGCCTGACTTTGTTTGGATTACCCACCGTCAGCCCGGAACCCCGAGTTGATCAAATTCTCTGAACTCTAACCCCTTTTGTTACTATCCCCTGATGATCGGGATTTTCCGCATCGTTCTCTTGATTTACCTCACTATTGACCCTCTGAGTCAGTCCGAGGATGGTCACATGGGCAGCGAAAGACGGTGCTGCTTTGGACCAACGGTATGATACTTGGGTCGGTACGGACACCGGTTCGGAGGGGTTCCGGTTATAGTTCGGTGTTTTGGTTCGGGGTGAGCTCAGTATTAGTGCATTACAGGTTCGGACATATCAGCGTGATTTATTGTCGGGCTTGAGGCTGCTACGGCGATCTATTTCAGCCTCGCCGCCGCCATGGCGGTTTATCCCGGGCACGGTGCTATTGCGGCCACTGATTTCAGATTCGGTATGACTCAACACCGACATATTTCAGGTCGACAAGGGCTCGAAATCAGCTTATTTCAGGCTCCAACAGATCAGGGTGATTTATTATCCGGTTTGGAACCACCACGTTGATTTATTTCAGGCTCGGAACAGCTTCGACGCGACTCCGACCATTTACTTCCGGATCGGCACCAACACGGCAATTTATTTCAGCATCAGAGCCATTGCCATATTAATTTTCTGGTTCGGATTGGAGTCGGCTGGCACGGTACGGGCTATTTCAGTTCTCTGCTGTAACGATCGGAATGCCCGCTAGTTCGGTTCGGCATCGACGTGTAACAGAAACCTGGTATTGGTTTACAGGAACGGCTCGATGTGTGTGTGAAAAACGACTCCAAATGATTGGTATGATTTGGTACGGGCGCTACGGTCGGAGGCATTGTCACGGAATAGTTGCTGCAAAATACCGCGGCCAGTAGCTGCAGCCCCAAACGGCTATGTCAATGGGACTCAACGGTTCAATATTGAGGCCTTCTTCATCATCTTGGGTATGTTCGGCACTGGCGTGAGGCTTTGGTCTATCACCGGACTGGTACGGTCCTTGGGCCAATACAACCAGGTCACAGGGCCGCGGTACCATTATGCTCGGCACAATTTCTGATTTGGTAACTAGAACAGTTCTCTAGGATTTCGACTGCAACGCCTATTGGTACCGTTGGACGGGAATTCCCGCAGTACGGGGGTACCCCGACCTCAGCAGCATGTGCTCTGTAAAGGCCTAGGGTCGCAGCATATAGGGGAAGGCGGCGAGGAGAAAGGGGGGACGCACTTAGTACGAGCAAGGTGTACCCGCGTATGCAAGCAYGGGGGAGACRCGTCGGCGCTCAGGCGGTTACTTGCGTGTGAGAGTGAGAGAGAAGGGGACTGCACAGCGGGAGTGAGAGACTGCGTGTGAGAGGGAGAGTGAGAGAGAAGGGGACTGCACAGCGGGGGTGAGAG